AAAAGTCAGATTCAAAAATCACAAAACTTGATCAAATCTTGGAAAAAAAAAAACATAAACAGTTTGTTGTTTCTTTTTTATAGCTATACCAAACACAAAGTGAATTGACTGGATTCACATTTTGCACTAGCAGCCGCCGGTTGTTGTGGACTGACAATGGGCAATCCATGTCAAGGTGTAAGTCCCTGTAGAGTAGTTGTAATACTTTTCTTTTTTCTCAAATATTTTTCCTTATTCAAAAGAAAGAAAGAAAGAAAAAAAAAGCAAATTCACTCTTTTCTTTAATAATTATTTTCACTAATTTCTCAAATAAAAGTTTTCACTTGAAAATGATTTGAATCCGTAACTAACTAAACAAGTTATAAAAGTTTTTTTAACTAATTTTTCAGTATTTAAAAACTACATTAAACTTAATTAATTTAAAATTAAATTATATTAAATTTTATAAAAAGATAAATTTTCTCACTACTTGTATTTTCATTGATAAATTTCAATATCAAAAGCTTATTTAAAAAAATTGAATCACTTTTACTCAAATTAACAAATCGTTGATTCATAAAAATTATTTACCAAACAAAAAGGTCATTAAAATTATGAGAGGAGATCTTTTTCTTTTTCAAAAAAACACCAACTTCTTCGTTGGGCAACTTGAGTCCTTGTTCCAGGGATGCCTATTGTAATCCGATGGTATGACGAATGATTATGGCCCAAAGGTAGTTTACGCCATAACGTAAGACCAGCGAGGGGGGCCATGGCCTCTCCGAAAATTTCCAAAGCCCTCAAAGCATAATGGGTAATTTTTTGTTTGTTTGCCTCTCCAAGTATTTTTTTTCAGTTAATTGCTCCCACCCCTAAAAATAAATTTTGTCCTACTAAAATTTTAGTAAAGTTCTGTTCTGTCGTACTCACCCTCTTCCTCAAATATCTCCAATTCCCCAAGTTCAAAAAATAAAAAATAAAATAGAAAGAGAAAATAGTTTATAAAATAAAAAATTAAAATGTTTTGATAATTAAATTATAAAAAATTATTATTATTAAAATATTCTTAATAAATAATATATGTAAGGAAGATTCATGAAGTTTTTGTATGTTAAATATCAAAACGTTTTAATTTATATTTTTTTAATAATTTGTTAGGAATAAGTAGTATACCCCCATTAAATCAATTTTCTTATAATAAAAAAAATCAATATATTGCTAACAACTTAAATAATTCAATTAAAATAAAAGATTCTCATGAATCTAATTTGTAATGCATGTAAATGGAGTAGATTAAAAAAAAAAAGATAAAACAATGTGATAATAGCTATTTTCTCTAAGCTCAAACCTTTTCAACGAAAAAAAAGAGATAAAAATAATTTTTTTTTAATTTGTGCTCTAAAAACAGAAGTTAATAATATTGTTTTAACATTAATTATCATTCAACAAATAAAACTTAATATTTATTTAATCAATTATCCAATTAAAATAATATACGTAATATTAGTGATAAAATTAATATTAATTTTTATTATTTTTTATATCAATTAATATTAAAAAATATATTAATTACATTCTTAATCTATACTCAAAGATTAGATATAAATTCAAAAATAAAAAATAAAGATTCAAATAGATCATGTTCTCAGTACAATTATTTTCACATTTTGATCCATAAAAGTTACTTTTTCAACCAAACTGAGCCCTAACCCCCAAAGCTAAGTCAATAATTGAAGAGAGCTTCCTTCATGGCCGAAAATACATAAAAGAGCTTCCCTCACATCTAAACCCAATAAAATATAGATACGACATAAAGCCATAAACCCTTACTCGCTCTCGCGTACAACACAAGACAAAAGGCAAAACAAGAAATGTGGCCAATAATGTTATCCGGGCTATGCTGTGGTATGGATGCAATTTGCCCATTTAGACTTCTCAAGATTAAAAGCTAACCATTCTTCTCTCCCCCCCGCCAAAACAAAAGGGAAATATGGGCTATAATTAATAGTCACTAATTTATCTTATATTTAAATATTAAAAATTAATACTAACTATTATTTTAAAAATAATAGGCGAAAGGCTAGGTGCTTAATTGTAAGATCACAAATACCATGAACTTAACAAACACTAGATGGTATTATATCTTAACATAATTAAAAAGTATTTTATAATTTAAATTATTTTAACTTACAAACTAAAAATTTTAAAATAGGAGAGTCCGAATATAACAAACCCTAATATATTGTACTTTTAAAACTAATTGAAAATACAAGACAAGCTTGAAGGAAATATTTTTTTTTTGTTATGAAACCACAAAGGAAAAGTAATCATATTGTTTAAAACAAACATTCCCAATACGATGAATCCAAACCGCTTATATGAATAAATGCGTTCTAGTTGGACTAACATTTTTTTAATCTGACGATAATATTGAATTTATTTTGTTTTACGCACAAAAAAATATCCCATTTATTTTATAGAATAGAAACAAGATAGAAATAATTAAGTTTCATTAAAAATAAATATAAAAAATTAATATTAATAGTATAACACACTCGTGTAATATCACGCGGCAAAATCTGACATGGATTCAGTTCATGTTTCCAATTCTTTGGTGTACTAGAAACGTGTTTGTTTTCGAATTCTCAACGGACTCACACCGAATCACGCGTGAAAAATAAAAGGATTTTTTTAACATTGATCTTTTAAATATAAATTAAAAATATTTTTTTATAATAAATATATATAAAAAGTATAAAAATTAATATTAAATTTTATATCAGAAAAATTTAATTAAACAATAAAAAAATTAAAAATTAATTTTTATTTTTATTATAAATTTATGATAAAAATATATTTAATACATCATTAACTTATATTTTAAAGTATAAATTAAATAAATTTAAAATAAAATAAAATAATTGACTAATTAATTAATTTTTTTAAAGTCATGTTTTAATTATACGTATGAAATGAGGAGAATAGAGAAGGAAAAAAATTTATTTAATTATAAGAAATTATAGAGGAGGGAAGGAAAATTCTTTTTATTTTATTTTTTTAATTTAGTTATTTATTTAAACGAAAAAAAAAAGAAAGGAGAAAAATGAAAGAAAATGAAAAGAAAAAATTTTTCTACCCTTTCTTCTCTTTTCTTTTATTTCTCCTAATTTAAATATATATTAAAAATATAATAAATATATTATACAATAAATTTATATTAATAAAATAAAATTTTATTTTAAATATATTAATTATCTAATTAAATTTATTTATATAATAACAATACTTAAATGAACATTAATTTTTATATTTTTTTATATAAATTTATAATAATTAGAGGGATAGGTTTAACCCATGCATTGAAAACTCAGATAGAAAATCACACTAAGAAAATAAACGAATTAAACTCATCCTCTAACTGATTAATTAATGCTTAATCTTGACTACAATAATTGTAAGCTAACCCCCTATTTTTTTAATTCAAAGTGTTGCTGACGTGGCGCCCAATTGCACGGGAATAGCACATCGGATGGTGGTTGACTTAGAAAGAAACTTTTTATATTATTTTTTATATAATTTTTATATATTATTAAATAAATATATATTAAATATTATAAATTTTAAATAAATAAAAAAATTAATTATTTAAATAATACATAAAATTATATAAAAAATAATATAAATATTTTTTCCTAAATTATATTTTATCCTTGATTCCGTACAACTGACGGCTCAGATGGGCGGGCGTTTCGGTGAGGAAAGGATTCGAAGCTGGAACGAACTTCACCTCACAGACACATGTAAGGCACGTGACCACCGACCCGGAAAATAAAATTTTAGTTTTTTTTTTTGGGCGATGTAAAATAATTTTAATTGAACCGCAATAATATAAATACAATTATTTTAGGTATAATATGTTGTGAAATTAAATGAATGGATATAAAACTGATTTGGGTTTTTTGAATTAAAAGACTTCATGTCGAATCAAAATACCACCAAAGAAAGGAAATGTCATCTTCTTGAAATG